CCGAGCCAAGAAGTTTACGCTAGATGCTAGGGGATTTGGTGAAATTTAGTGGAAACGGGCACGATGTGGAGAAGATTGCATTTTCTCTGAAGTAAATTTCTAGGTACCTACCTGCGCAGGTATGATGTTATGGCATGCGACTGGATATTGTTTGAATATTCATGCTGAGTTCTTAGGCCAGTACCAGGGGCGTAGGACAGGTTTCGCCGGCATAGGTCTCAAGCCTCCTAGCACAGCCGTGATCAACAGAATCTGGTGCGAAACCCATATAATATTGGTATTAGCAGATGCGCAACAACACATTGTTTGAACACTTCTCCCACCTTCATTCTGCTATAGGAACAATGACAGTAACAACGTTTTACCTTACACCTGTTAAGCGGTCAGTTCACAAAATATATGGTGCGGCGGCAGTTGGTTATACGAAGATGAATTACGCACACATTTTCAGCTGATCGTGATGTCACTAAATTCAAAATCACTGCCAACCTGGTAATAGTTCTGCACGAGACCGGAGGGTATTAGACGACACCAGATGTCATGAGATGAAACTGAACGGAGCCAAACCGGATCAGACGCGGTCGAATGGTCCCGAATAAAACCGGATAAAGCGCGCTGAGACCAGATGGAACCGAACGAACCGGATGGGACCAAACGGCCCTGGAAATGACGAAATTATACCGAACGGAATCAAACGATGTCGACACCATCGGACGAGGCGGATAGAAACCGGACGGAACTGGAAGGACCGGACGGTGCCAGATGAAGTGTGCTGAGCCCATCCAGGACCGCGCGAGATAGGAAGAGACCGGTCCGAGCCGGCATGGGACTCCGGGCATGGGGCTCACGGCATGGGACTGGCCGGCGCCGCAAGGGACCTGACAGGATGGAACGGGACCGAACGAAACCGGATGGAGACTGGACGAGACTGGACAGACTAAGAAGGGCCGAACACGACTGCACGGAACCGAATGGGACCAGATCAAACCAGACGGGACCGGGCAAGAGCAGACGATGCTGAGCGGCCCCGGATGGAATCAGATGAGACCAGCTCCCGGCCTAGTCCAGGACTGTCCCATTCCGGTCCCATCGTGTCCCGTCCCGATTCTATTGGTCACGTCCCTTGTCATCCGATCACGTCCACCACGTCAAGTCATGTCTGGTCCCGTGGGGCTGCGTCCAGTCTAGCGTAATTCCAGGTCACGTCCGGCTCTAGTCTAGTTCTGTCCGGTCTCATTTGGCCTACATAACGCGCAATCCTGTCCGTATGATCCCTCTCTTTACCGTCCGACCCCACTCCGTCACGTTTGATGCCGTCGGATCCTGTCTGGTCCAATCTGGTCCCGTTCGATTCAATCCGGTCCCGGCTGGTCCCATGCGGTCCCATCATCCCATCATCATAAGGTCTCGTTCGGTTTCGTCCGGGCCCGTGTGGTCTCATGCCGTCCGGTTTCGTCTGGTTTGACATGGTTACGCGTTGTCTCCTGAGCTTTCGTCCGATTCCGCTCGATCCGGTCCGGTTCGTACGGTGCCGAACGATTCCCCTCTGTTCAGCCTGATTCTTTTCGGTCACCGCTCCCAGGGACCGTAAGTGTGACGAGGAGCACCCAGATGCCACCGCGGCCTTGGCGGGCTTAGACGTGCGTGTGGCTATCTCCAGGTTGACGGTGATTAGTTATGTGACGTCATCGTACCATCCGCGTAAGTGTTGGTGACCTTTAATGTCTTCGCATAGTCACTGGTATCGCCAGCGTAAGCTTCGCACTTCTCAATATGAGCTCAATGAACGGAATCTAGTATAAAAGCAATACAACACTGGTATCAGCAGATTTTTTACACTGCTGCTGCTGCTGCTGCACTGCTGGCACATTCATCTAGCTCTATGTGCAATATGATGGCAATAAAAAGCGTTTTAGCTCACACCTGCCAACCGGCTACTTCCCTGAATCTGTTGTACAGCGGGCAGTGTGTGAGGCCTACGCCGATACTACCAGAGTTTGCTGGATAAGTCAAGGGGGGGGGGGGGGGGGAGGGGATAAGCAGCGAAAATGGCTAACCCTGCTGCTCAAAATTCATTAAAAAGCCGAATGGCTTCCTGGATCTGAGCCTCTTCCTTTACAAAGTTGACAGGGGGTCCGGGCCCCCCCCCCCCCCACACACACTTGAAAAGAGAATGACACCGCTGAAAAGCACCACCGAAATACATTGCTGTTTGAACAGAATGTTTACACGCGAACCTCAGAATGCAAATTGTCTTGCCAAATGTATCAGCTATTGCCGAAGGAGTGTGACTGTGAGAAGCCGGGGTCCAGCTGGTCCACCATTCTTGGTTCCTGTTCCACAGCTTCTTGGTTCCTGTTCCACAGCTTCTTGGCAGTACTTCATAATTCCCCACTCACATATGAAATAATGCATTGCAGCTTGCAGCTCTTCCAAATACGCGTCATTTCAGACGGCACAGAGGCTTAGCACAGCCTTGATACAAAGTTATTTACAGTAACATTTCAGGTCGCCGGCAGCCGGTTCTTTCAGGTTTAGAACTCAAAGACCCAGAAGCATTCTCGAAAAGGTTTTGCCGCACCGGGGCCCTGTATTCTTGGCTGGGAGCCTGTATAAGCACCGTGGCTAAATGAGGAAGTCGCGTGTTCTGCGTCGAGACGCCTCGAGAGCCTTTTTATTGATGAAAAGGAGCTCCTTATGTCCTCACGCCGAGTTATCCACCTATTGCCCAGCAAGGAATTATTTCTCTGAAAGCAGATGGCGTCACGCATAACGTCGGTACGTGAAGATAAGCCAAGCATAACCGTGGAGGCGTCGCTTGATGAAGGTATAGCTGTGAAGGCGTCAGCATGTGAAGGACTGGCCGTGAAGGCGTCAATATGTGAAGGCATAGCCGTGAAGGCGTCGGTACATGAAAGCATGGACGTGAAGGCGTCGATATGTGAAGGTATAGCCGTGAAGGCGTCGGTACATGAAGGTATAGCCGTGGAGGCGTCGGTAGGTGAAGATATAGCCGTGAAGGCGTGGGTAGGTGAAGGCATAGCAGTGTAGGCATCGGTAGGTGAAGGTATAGCCGTGAAGGCGTCGGTACATGAAGGTATAGCCGTGGAGGCGTCGGTAGGTGAAGGTATAGCCGTGAAGGCGTCGGTAGGTGAAGGTATAGCCGTGAAGGCGTCGGTACATGAAAGCATGGACGTGAAGGCGTCGATATGTGAAGGTATAGCCGTGAAGGCGTCGGTACATGAAAGCATGGACGTGAAGGCGTCGATATGTGAAGGTATAGCCGTGGAGGCGTCGGTACATGAAGGTATAGCCGTGGAGGCGTCGGTAGGTGAAGGTATAGCTGTGGAGACGTCACTATCTAAAGGCACGGGTTATACGAGAAAAACGACCAGACATGTGCGGCCAGTGTGCCGATGTTTACGGGGACACTTTGAGATAATTCGTGCTGGCAGTTCGGTTCGATCAGTTATTTAGCAAAGACTGTGTTTAAATGCCACGATATGGCCAATTCTTAGGCAAATATCCACACGCTGCAACCACACCAAAGACATGCAACGAGCCAGCCACCCATGACGGACCGAACACAGCCTTCATCTTCTTGACATCCGTCCAAAAGGCAAAACCAGGAGATCAAGAGATCTGATTTTGGTGTGTCGTCACTTCTCGTTACCTGATGAGTCAAACAAATCGCGGTCTAGAGTTATAAACCCTAGCTTTTTCCGGAAGCCCAAGAGGTCACCAACTCAGCTAAGTTTCTACAACCCGGGTAAATAGGAACAGTAGAATTAAAACAGTTTCTGAGGTCTGAAATTTTTGCATAAACTACAGGTCTGCCTTTTTGCTGGGGCATTCGCATAAAGGTGAAAGGTTACTTTTCAGAATGCGAATTTCAGACCAGAGTTTGAACTGTGGAGTGCACTCTTACTGACCCTGCATATTCGCGTGATCGCCCAGTGGCTCACTGCTAGCCCCACCTACTTCCTCTAAGCGTGCCTTCGCCCCAGTTCTCATGATCGTTTTACGAGCGTCATTAACTCAGAACAAACGCGCCGATTCCACGTCTGCACGGCAAGGGAGCGATACCGTTCACGCGGCGTGCGGTGTAACGTGGCGACCAATGTTGGCTCGGCCCACAAACTTGTGACGCACTCCATGCCATTGACTCGGGCAGTTCGGCAGCTGGACACGGCCAGGCGCGGACGGGTGAATGGGACGCCCGCCGGGCCGTTTGAGGTTTATTGCTCGTGCTGTCCGCTCGAGCTGACCATTACGACGGAATGGTTCATGGGAATCGTTGCATCTACGAATGTTAGTTTGTTGACAGCATACGGTGGCCTTCGTTGGGCTGTGGTATTCAGCGCCGCCGAGTGGTGCGCTTCGGTTCAGATCGATGCACTAATTTGTCACCCGCTGGCATTAGATGCTGATGAATTGTTCAGCCCAACACAAGGCGGATTAACTTCGGGGCTAAGTTCTGAACAAGCTCCAACACCGCTTGGTGGTCGGAAGGACCGGTGATGCGCCTCGTAACGCCGCTCAGTAATAATGTAGCATGCTATGCTCCCGTCTTGGAGTTTTACAGACGGGGCGCAGAGGCGGCTCCGCGGCACGTAACCCTGTTCTAAAGAAATATTGGGACTTTTCGTTTCACCGAGAGCCAGGGCCATTTCGAGACGGACTCCTTTACTGGGTGTAATCTGGGACGCGGTGGTAGCGCGGCGAGGCCCTGAACCCAAGACTGGCAGGTTTAGGGCTGAGCGTCCTAACCACTATACCACCCTCGCCGTCCCCACCCCTGATCCCCTGCACGACTGCATTGTTGCTGCTATTTTTGCTTACTAACATCTAGTTCTCAGAGATATCATGGCTGGTGCCGTTCTGCCCACAGTGACGGCCACGGGCGCCCGCGCCCTGACTCCGCACGACTGGTACGCCCCCGTGCGGACCCCGACACGTTCGTTCGGCGGCGCCACTGATCGCGTGACCCCTCCCCGTAGCGCCTGCACCTCCAATGTGGCCAACTGCTGGTCGGGCCGGCTCATCCCGGACGACTACGACAAGACGAAGACGCCGTTCGTGCCCGGCACGCCGCTGCCGGTGCAGACGTCCATCTGGGTGTCGTCCGTGACGTCCGTCAGCGAGCTGGCCGCCGACTTCACCGTGGACCTGTACTTCCGGCTCAAGTGGCACGACCGGCGCGTGGCGTATCCCGACTGCGAGAAGCGGCCGTTCCTGCTGCTCGAGTCGACGGAGATCGACCGGCTCTGGATCCCGGACGTGTACTTCATCGGCGAGAAGCGCGCCACGCAGCACATGCTGATGCGTCGCAACGCCGCCCTGCGACTCAACAAGAACGGCTCGAGCCTGTACCTGTCCGAGCGGCTCACGCTCACCGTCATCTGCAACTACGACTTCCAGCTCTTCCCCATGGACAGCCAGGTGGGTGGCGGCGCTCGGCCAGCTGCAGCGGTGTTACTTTCTAAGTTGGTTGAGGGGGAAAGGCTGAGCCAATAAAGTTGGTGTAACCTGCGCTAACCTCTCCCCAAATCCTGATTTCTCCTCGGAATTCAGTCACTTCGATTTGCGTTTCTGATGTCAACGTAAGAATGCAAGAATGGTCGGCTCCAAAATTGTTTCGATGATGAGAAATAATTTCCACTTGGGGCCAACGTGACAGTGAAAATGATGATAAACGGAGGAGAAAAACCGGGCGTGGTAAAAACACACGTGGAATGCCAATTCCTCTGGCACGCACGTCAGCATTCTTCACAAGCACGGAGTAGCGTTGGCCGTGGTGATGGGGACATAGATAGCGCTGCGTTTATGTCCCAGTGTGCCAGCAGGTGTGAGGTGGACCCCACGTTTTTTTTTACTTTCTCCGTTACATGATTGCGCTTCCAATACAGGGACACATATAGTTGTGTATTATACATGCCATATATATATATATATATATATATATATATATATATATATATATATATACATATATATACATATATATATATATATATATATATGCATACATATACACATCCAAGCTCATTGTAACACCCAGAAAAGTTGGTTGACGCTCGCGATCAATCCAAGACGCCAGCGACCTCAAAGACTCAACGCCAGGCAGGCGCTGCGAAAACAGAAACAAAGACAATGACAATGGCTTAATTAATGCCTCGAAGCCGTGGAAAGCGTCCAGCGCGATACGGTTGGTGCACACAAGTACCCCAATATTCAGCGAACACCCGTTACTTCAAAACCAGCTGGTAACGCGCTTGTTGTCGCAACGGAGCTGCCGTTTCGTAAGCCGTGGAAACAGCTGACTGTGGCCAGAAGGCTGATGGTCCAGAAAACGTGATCTCAGCTGTCGGTCACGGGGTCGATATGCATCGGCCGACGGAAGCGCCGGAGGCGAGCTCAGCGCTGGAGCCAGAGGAAAGAACACGGAGAAGAAACTTCGAAACTGGACCTATCACGGCGAGGTGACGCTGCAGATGGAGCGGAAGGCGGTCCTGGCAAACGGAGGAGAAACTTCGAAACTGGACCTATCTCGGCGAGGTGACGCTGCAGATGGAGCGGAAGGCGGTTCCGGCAAACGAGGGACAAAACCTGCGATACTGTCACGTGAAGAGGGAAACGGGGGAGAGGAGAAGGAGCGCAAGAGGAGCCCAACAGACACAGCGGCCGGTGGACGCTCCCGCTGGGCCGCTCCTGTGGTCACTTAGTGGACGCTGGCAGAGACCGGTCATCTCTGTATCCACCAGACTTGTGTTCGACTCGAGCTGAGTCATGAATCGGCTCGCGAGTTAATCGGTTTGGGGTGAGTCGTGAGCTGAGTCGGCTCACTAGAAAAAATGGCGCTTTGAGTCATGAGCTGAATCTCATTTTTCATTAATTTCATACGCTGAGTCGTGAGCCGATCATTTCTAACAATACTGTAACAATCAGTGAGTTATATGACTGACATGAAAATGTTGACATGAGGAAACACAGCACACCCCGGACGAACTAATAGACGATTTCGGTAGGTTAAAAATAACAGCATGGAACATTGGTTATAAAGCTTTTGCAAAATCAGCAGAAAGTTTGATATTGTAATTGCTAAGCAGCAAACACAACATTGTTTATCCTGAACTAATTGTCGAATCTCATCCAGGAAACAGAGGACATTGCATGGTACAGACATCCCACATTCCTATATCCTACCCTAAAATTAGTGAAAGATTGTCTGCTGCCTATAAAATTCCAGGGTTGTTCATATCTTTAAGTGCCAATGGTTGCGACAGTGCACTAACCCATGCCCATCCCTTCATTCACTGCTGCTTGAACTGCCGTAAGCATGCTGTTGCTTAGGCTATATGAACTAAACAACAATAGTCTCATGTGCGGATTGCATGCCGCTAAATGTGACGTCCCGGGATTCCATCAACGACTTTTTCAATGCAACACGCAAGTTACGAGCGGAAATTTAGCCCACAAATTTGGCATTCTTGGAATGCGTGTAAAGAGGCGCACATCACTCATATCTCTACGCAGCGTGGAAGATGCCGGTTTTGACTCCTAACCCATCATAGAGTGACCTGATGAGGTGAGCTTAACGTATCCTGGTGGAAGAGACAACCGGCGCCTACGTCAGCCCATCTCTAGTTCAGTTACTCAGGGTTCATTCAGTTCAGTTCAGTTCTTTGCTGGCTGAAAGACGTGAGTCGAGTGAAATTGATTTTTGCTGGGCTTGTTTGTGAGAAATGCAATCGTTATTCGTAATACTTATTAAGTTCAGGTAGGAATGTAAACTAACAATATGTTTTTCACTTATGCTTGCTAATCGCTGTTGCAAGAACTGCAATACGATGTTGCATTGTTGGCAGGCCATCGCCGACGGCATCGCTAGTACTGGCTAGTGGAAATGTGATAACCTATGTGTGCTTGCACTTGGCTGGTACTTGGTAGGCGCAGACTGCCAACTGTCAGGTTGAATGCAGTCTAGTCCACATTTCATGCTATATAACTGATGCGTCTGGGTCGTGGGCGCCGGGTAGAATATGTTAGTATAGAGCTGAGACCTGAGAGAGCTGGTTGGTGGCAGAGTTACAGGAAACATACCGTATGCTGCACTGCATTTGGTAGGTTTAAGCTACAAACTTGCTACTAGGCTATTTGTACCTATTCTCCATGTTATGATATATATGAGGTGAGAGAGAGAGAGAGAGAGAGAGAGAGAGAGAGAGAGAGAGAGAGAGAGAGAGAGAGAGAGAGAGAGAGAGAGAGAGAGGAGAGAGAGAGAGAGAGAGAGAGAGAGAGAGAAGACAGACAGACAGACAGAACAGACAGACAGAACAGACAGACAGACAGACAGACAGACAGACAGACAGACAGACAGACAGACAGACAGACAGACAGACAGAGCAGACAGACAGACATACAGACAGACAGACAGACAGACAGACAGACAGACAGACACGACAGACAGACAGACAGACAGACAGACAGACAGACAGACAGACAAAGACAGACAGACAGACAGACGACAACAGAACAGACAGACAGACAGACAGACAGACAGACAGACAGACAGACAGACAGACAGACAGACAGACAGACAGCAGACAGACAGACACCAGACAGACAGACAGACATACGACAGACAGACAACAGACAGAGACAGACCAGAAGACAGACAGACAGACAGACAGACGACAGACAGACAGACAGACAGACAGACAACAGACAGACCGACAGACAGACAGACAGACGACAGACAGACAGACAGACAGACAGACAGACAGACAGACAACGACAACAACAGACAGACAGACAGACAGACAAGACAGACAGACAACAGACAGACAACAGACAGAACAGACAGACAGACACAGACAGAACAGACAGACCGACAACCGGACAGACAACAACAAACAGACAGACAGACAGACAGAATAAGACAGACAGACAGACAGACAGACAGCACAGAAACGACGACAGACGGACAGACAGACAGACAGACAGACAGACAGACAGACAGACAGACAGAGCACGCACAATCGGCGGACGAATTCGATGATTGCGAGTGACCTGTAAATTTTACAGACGTTCAACTTCCCTATGTTCGTTGGTGGTCGCCACCTGTCGCCCGAAATTCCGAAGGTGTAGTGCTGTAACGACATTATATAGATCGGGTTGACCATTGAACATTTCATTTATACAAGCGGCGTTACGTGAGGTATCATTGCTGCATTTGTAACATTGCAGGAAGGCGGTCGTAGAAACCAAATGTATGCCGGGCTCTTGTAACGATACAAACGACTATTCTTCATTAAAGGGAATGACCTGGTTACTAATTTTCAAATGGTATGACAAACCATAAAAGTACTGGAAGTCATTACAATGTTTTATTTCACAAATCAGCAGGTTTCTTGGGTTCTCCGAGTTTGTAATGGTGCGCCTAGACGCCGTATACAAATGCAAATACATTGCGACCAGAGCATGTACCGATACAATTTGACATGACTGAAATTGTTTTCGCAAGTTTCACGGTCCTGTTAATCCACGAGGAGTATTCAAGGAAAAGTCCGCATTGCTCTAAATGGTAAAGTTAATAGTAAATAGGCACCAAAATTATATATATTGGTACCTTTTCTGCACATAATAGGTACCAAAATACCGGTGACTTATGTGACCAAAAATGGTATGGGTGACCGTCATGATGCACTACGACGTGAAGGATCAGAGACGTCCACACGGGACCAAGACTTCACCACACCACCACAACGCATACTTCACCTCGGTGCTGCAACGCTTACCATGGGCCATAGCATTGCTTCAATCCGCGAAGCTACGGGGCCTACGATCCATATCCGTAGGCCAACATAACCAAACAGAAACCACTGTTGTTTCAAGTAGCATGGGTTCTTAGCCAGACGCACGCTGGCTAAGAACACATGCTGGCTACAATGCATCTGAAATTCATATAATTCTTGCTGAATTAGTGTCGCTTATGCTTGCAGCTAGCTGATTGCGCATGGTTTAGCTGGCTAATTTTAGTAAGCATTCCAACGCGGTCGTAAAGTTTCGAATCTAACACTGAATTATACACAAAATATGACAGCTATGTCACCAGGAGTTGAGTATTTTATCACGACCCTTCCTTAGTATAGACCATACAGACTGGCAACATAGATTACCACTGAAAGTTACCTCTATTAAAAACTTGTCTCAATATCTGTTCCCACTGGCATTTGGCTTCCATGATATTTGAACGCTGAAATAGCGTCAATGAATAAGATGCATCCCGAGTTCCGTAAAGGCAAGATGGTTTTGAGAAAGATGAGAGATTTTCATTCAGAAATGCTCTCAAGGTGTAACAACACAGCAAAAGTTCCATCGCAAAAAATAGAGGAATCTCGCAATTCAGCGATCTTGCACGGGGACATACAGTGGCGGCGGAGCCGCATAAAGTCATGCTCATGTGAATGCAACGTAGACAAATGCCATTGCTGTCAAAAATGATACGGTCTATTTTACCACGAAAGGTTCCGAAATCCAAGCCCAAAAACACGCTAATGATCCTTATGCAGCTCTTTAAAATTCGCGTGTCAATTTTGCTCATGGGAAACTAGCCAAATATCTTCCAACACATGGGAAAAGACTGAAGAGAACGGTATGAAGCAACTATTCGAGACCGTAATTTTGCTGCGTGTCTGGACGACCGAGCGTATCACTTTGCACATGGTCTCCTTTGTGCCTGATAAGCAAATTGACCTGCTGGCATGAAAATTGGTCTTAGACTCAACCCTCTTAGGCAAGGGATAATGGAGGGGGGGGGGGGGGAGAGGGGAAAGTGAGGGCTAATAAACCGACGAACGTTTAATTTTAACACGCGCCGAATCTTCAAATGTACAAACTGTTATCGCTGCGCAAAAATTCCGTGGGCGGGTGAACCTGCGGGTCTTGCTTGTTTGCTCCAAACATACGCTGATGCGTGGACCAGTGCCTGAACCACCCGCCTGGACCATAACCTGTCCCCCCCTCCCCCCCCTCCCGGCGGTGTGCACGGCGGCATGGACAGCGGTCCTTTGCATACCGAGCGGAGTCTCATTAATGAGTTGCCCTGTGGATGTTCGACGACTGAATTCAACAAGTTTTAAGCGCGCTACCGGGCCCTTTTTTGTGCAATAGGGTAGATTATTTTGTCAATGCGTGCATGCGCGTATGTGTTTTTATCACTCATCACTTTCCGTTGCGTTTTTGACACTCTGTTTTATTTCTTAGCCTAATGATGCGTAATAGCCACGTATGTATAAGTGTCAACTGATATCCAATGATTTAACCTGATCCTGAGAACAGTTGATCAAACTTCTGGCCCCTTTTCAGGCCTGCGAGCTGGGAATAGAGCCGTACGTCTACCACAAGGAGTACTTGGACCTCAGCTTCGAGGATCCCGGCGTGTATTTTAACAACTTTAAGTTCCGGATCCCGCAGTTCGACCTCCGTGATGTGAAGGCCGGTAACTGCAGCTACACGTACATGTACCAGGGCACCGCACTGCAACAGTCCTGCGTGCGCGCCGTCTTTTTCTTCGAACGCGTTTTCCGCTATCACTTTCTGCAAATCTACGTACCCTCCCTCATGATCGTCGGCATCAGCTTCCTCAGCTTCTTTGTGCCGGTAACGGTGGTGCCGGGACGCATCGCCCTTTCCATCACCACCCTGCTGACGCTGTCCACCCAGATGCAGGCCGTGCAAAAGTCACTGCCGCCCGTCTCCTACGTCAAGGCTAGCGACGTCTGGATGTTCTTCTGCATCTTCGCCGTCTTCTCCACGCTGATCGAGTTCGCCATATCCTATCGCCACTGCACAAATGTTCAGAAGAAGGAGGTGACTAAAGTATGGCCTATAGGTGCCCGTTCCGAAGATAAGCCTGCTGAGAGTTCCGTTCACCAAGCTCTGGCTCGAATAGGCCTCACCCGCAATCGACCCGACCTGGTGGATGCCATCTCTAAAATATTCTTTCCCACGGCCTTCGTCATATTCAACATTGCGTACTGGTCGTACTACTCCGGTCTTCAGAGTGAGAAGCGGAAGCTGATGGAGAAGTCGTACGAGGCGTAATTGCCCTGTTTTGGGATAATGAGGCATTTTGTAGGATTGGGACACCCCTTCGGGAATTGGTAAGCATCCTGTTATGGATTGGGAGTTTCCTCAGGTGCAGTTTAGCGTATACATTAATTTCAATCAAACCTGGTACGGTCGCCTTCGCGCCTGCCATACTGCATATGCCACAACCGAGTACGTTCATCTGTGCTTATTTACGTGCACGCACGTATTCCCGCCCTAAATTGCCATAGAGTAGCCTCTCATGTCCAAGAGAAGGCTTCTTAAGTCATGGTGAAAGACGGGGAGATCACGTTTCTTTTTCTTTGATACTCTGGTGACTCGGTGCTTTCCTTGTTCGTGGAATCTGTATCACCTATACTGCTATACAACGTCCCCTGTAACGTACGACACGCGCAAACAAGTGTCCATCTGAGTCCTTTAGGCGTTCTATGTCGGACTCGGTCCACGAACAAGACTTATTTACACCGTTTGAATGCTTCGGGGCCTGAAAGAGAATGAATTAGATATACTGAATAAATGAATATAGTGGCTTATCCAGGGTTTTACCATCGAAGAGGCAAATGCAGCCCAGGGAGCATCTGGTATTCGATGCGGTCTTTGTTCAAAAACGTCTAAATTTTGTCACTGACGCCGCAGTAAACAAGACATTACAGTCACTGTGTGCTTGAGTAAGTCAACGTACAAACAAATACTCGCATGACAACGTCGGTAATCCTCCTCCTGGTGTAATGCAGATGCATTATGACCGGAACTGATATAAACTCCCAACTCGCTCTCGGCAGCTCATGACATTTTTTGCTTACATCAGATACGTAATCAGGCCTCAGGCCTGCCTGTTCAGTGTCAATAACGTGGTTGAAATATGACTCTGAATGGTTTTGTGTTTAGAAGCCTGGCTACTTTTACTGATATGCGGATAATTTTCGCTTCAGAAATCCTTGGATATGTTACTAGCCACAACACAGCCCTTTTTCTTCCGTGAATCTTTTCTGTGGTTTCTAGGCTCTTCACACTCTTTGAGGAGGATGAAGAGGCTTTTTCAATCAACTTCTGTTTACTTTGTCGGCGCTCCTGTAGCCTGAAGACGCTACAGGAGCGTGTATATTTTTCTCGTTTTTTCACCGCGGCACGTGGATGACAATACCAAAGAATAAACTGTTTGAGTTCCATGGTGCATATGGCTATAGAATTGGAAAGGTCAGGTATTTTTTTGTTTCAGGTGATTTTTGTGGCGTCGTATCTGAGCGGCAGTTGTTAACGGTTGTGTCCTTGCCACAATCCCTTGTAAGTGTTCTGCTTGTGGTGTAGAAATACATGTCATCAAGTGTACATGTAGCTGAGATCTGTTTCGAAAGCGCGTACGGCTCAGCTGGAGTTCTTATATTTACCTGCCTTAATCGGACTGCTATCTAGTCATTGAGTGCATTAAACGCTTTGTTGTGGCCTGTTTTTGTCGAAATATATCATATTATCATTGAATGTCAGCACGAGAGCAAGAGCAAGACTTCAATAAGAAGGCCAGAAGCAAAGCTTTGCGACTTATTTGCAGCGGAGTGACTTGACACCAAAATACATGACACCACTGCATCCTAAATGGTGTCAGCATTTGGAAAGTCTGGCATTGTCATCACGTCGGAATGACACGTGTCAGACGCCAGGGTTAAGTAGGAATGTCCCAGAAAGGGATAAAAAGCTCCATCCCGCGTGAAATTACTCTCCACGATAAACGATCTAAGGGATCGAAAAAACCTGAATCACCTTTGTCTGTTAAAGGGAGCGTACCGTATCTGAAGATAAGGAGACAAGCATTAATGACCCTGCGTGATGTTTGGGAGGCTTGTAAAGCCTCCCTCCGGCCAAAGAGGAGGAGCCAGGCTAAACGTGCCTCCACCAGGCCTCTGACTCTGGCTTCTGACTCAAGGCACCTGTGGCCGCGTCGTGCTGACCTCACACGCGGATAGCCGACTTGTCAGATGCCTTCCTTGTGCGGGACTGGCTAGCAGCTAAGCGGGATAGGCGACGGTTGACGAAGGGAGCCGCCGGGCCTTAAAGGCATCAGTCCCAATATTGCGTCACTGAGCACCCGAAACGCTCGACCTGTGGCGACGACCACGTCATCTCTTTCAGAAAGTGTCGGTGTTCCTTGCTGGAAAAGAAACTGTCACCACCAAAATCAAGGAAGGAGTTTGATTTCGAGACGTACGGTGTAGATACAGGGCGGCTGCTGGTAAGAAGAGCTACTGCGATGCTGTTGCCACGTCTGCGAGACCCACAGAGCCCCTTGTCGACGCTGGTCACGTGCTGACATCGTCCAGTCTTGATGCTTTTTGAAACACGACGGTGGGCGACCGTATCAAAATGTTCACCGCGATACTCGCACCCAGGAGGCCAACGCGTTTCCCACTGCTGGAGGAACCGCGCCCTCCGCCGCGCGCAGTGGCACTGGGCCTACTCCGGCGGTTGCGGAGACTCCCCACAGGCTATGCCATCTGTGTGATCACCCCTTCCCCTTCTGCGTGGTCGGGGGTCACGGGTTTATCAGACGCCGCCGATCTCTCAAGTGAGTGTCGCTGCTGCGAGGGACGGTTCGACAGCAGCGGGAACGCTTGCACCCTGGCCTTCTGGTAACCAAAGCCTTCGGGGTGCATTTGGCTGGAGGCCAGTTGGCGCTGCTAAGCACCTCCAAAGGGAAGCTCCTTTCGTTCGAAGGAAAGATTACCTGCTGCCCGACATTCCCTGTTACAGCGTCGTCTAGGGACGAGCTGGCAGACCGGCTTAACGCGCTGGACATGGAGGCGCCAGGACGCGCAGCTCATGCAATCCGGGCCCCTGCAATCCACCGCCTCCAGCAACACCACCACCGGCCACCATGCCTCGCCCGACGGCTTTGGTGGCTCCACTCCCCGCCCCCACCATCGAGGGCTCCCGGTGTGAGTACGTCGGACAGGACACCATCGCCCGCCCACGGCCGGGACACGAAACGAGCCCCATCGTGGCCTGTGTCTCCCACGGACGATGGGAGCCCAAAAGTACGGCCCGGGGCTCGATCCGGGCAGGCTGATGTCGTACGACGCGATGCGCAGCCCTTTCGGCAAAGAACCGCAGCCGAGTCACATTTTCAACACCCGCCCAGGTGGCCGGTTGCGTACCCTTCGGTCGGGTGGTGTCAATTTGAACCCCGAAGATCTCAGGAACTGAAAAAGCTAGAGATACCAAACTTTTACAGTGTGTTGGCCTGTACGTGGAGTCACGCATGCCAAAGCTTTAGGCTCCTAGATCATGACCTTCGGATCAAATAAGGTCTAACAAATTCAAACTCATGGTTGGCCTCCAAAGTGCCCCAGAACCTAGATTAGTGTTCAAAGCAAAAGGTGACACGCCCATTTAAGGTCAGTGACCTTGTTTGACGTTTTGCAGGTCATGGTGACCAAGATGATACAAAACTATTCTGAGTTGTGGATTTAAATAAGCGACAAAGATCACGCCAAATAATTTGTTCCTAAAAGCCAACTGTTGACCCGGGTCATCTTAGGGCCAGTGACCTATTCTGTGATTTCAAAAGTGTATGGAAGATATATAGTACGGTTCCTGTTATCAGTAAATACGAAATGAGTACCAGAAACAACCCCAAACAGCAAGCCCTCGAATAATAAGCAGGTTAGTCTTAAACTTGGTCTGACCTTCACATCTGACCCTTGGTCACTGGAATTCCTTCATTCAGTTGTTGTGTTGCCTAAGAAAATATCTCTGACATGTACGGCTTCGTCCACCATTCCGTTGCTGCATTAGATTGAACGATTCCCTAGAAAATGACTTCGCTTAATCCACAGCCCGACCTTGACCTGCCGGAGGTCAGCGATCTTTCAAAGTACATCCAAAGTTTTGATATCATACGATCTGCTACATGATTTTTACAACTGTCAGAAACTATCCCGGAAAAAAAACGCTTCGGAGGGTCAATTTGACCAACCCCCACCCCCCCACTCCCACCTCAGCGCGTGTTAAGCCAATGACACTTGCTTACTAGTCGACTAGAAGCCACCACGTCGTGTTCAGCTCTACCATGAAACGCTCGTGGGCTTTGGGACCAGGCCAATGCCACCGACCTGCAAAGTCTTCTGTTTTCCAGCAACCCAGTGACAGCGTGCTTGCAGGAAATAAAGCCATCTTCAAACACAGATCAAGTCTTCATCAAGGCATGTGACCTCACGTCGTTCCTGCAAGGCATATGCAGGATCGACATGAGGGCACATGCCACTACCCATGGCGGGGCAGATATTTTGGTGCTTAACAGTGTTCGTTTCCTGCATTGAGCTCGTTCTTTGAACTAAGCTGCAAGCTATCGCCATGATCGCCGACTTGGACGTTCTCATGATCGATGAGGCTTGATCACCGTTATTTGTCCAAGGCAATTCAGTCTCGCATAACTCGTCCTGGGATTGCGATGCTACCAACAGAAGGGGGGGGGGGGAGGAGAGAAGGCTTGGAGGCCCTTTGCCTTTTCAACACTGGACCCCCTACCAACCCACTATTTTTCTCGGGTAACACTTAGCTATTGATCTTTCGGTGTGCACGTCAACACTTTAGAGCCAGTTTTCGTGACATGTCAACAGCGGACGGCTCGAAAGCGATCACTCTGCCATCTGGCTAAACCACAGTGCTGCCCCCCCCCCCCCCCCCGTATCCCGCCACCACGGTGAAAGCTCCGACGAGGCGACAAGACCACATTCAGTGCCGGATGCTCCATCGATGTGCGTCCCTCAGTCATGGATTCAATCACATATCTGATAGAGCATGTCAACTACGGTGCGGCAGCGAGGGGATGCATTACCTTGACGTACTGCAAGCCACGGCGTCTGTCAGTGCCCTGGTGCTCTGAGCAATGTACGTTGGCCATGCTCAGCGGCAAGAGTCGCAGGCTCGGCCACCGGCGAGACGGGCTGGTCGCAAGTCCAAGTCTCGTTCATGGCAGGACTTCGTGACAGGCATCCGTT